CAGTAGAAGAAAATACTTTCCATTCCATGAAGTGTAAAGGGCTTCCAAAGTTTCAGTCCCATCCTGCCAAGCTTCCAAGGCCCTGGTCTGCGCATACTCTTTACAAATCACCTGTTGCCCTTTTAACTTCAGCTACATGAAAAGTGCATGGTTTTGGCTACTTGAAGGTTATCAGGCTTGCATCAGACCAAAGCTCCCCAAAATCAGGAGCTGTAATCCTGTGTCACTGTGGGGCCCAGAAGGGCAGGCATCATGTACCTCAGGCCAGAAAGGCAGCCTTCTGTTCCCTCCTTTCCCACAGCCCCTCCAACAGCTTGTGAAGGTGGTGGGACTGCAGCACTGAGCTGGAGCTGGACATCCTCACATCATCTCCTTCCCTCCTCTCCTGCGCCAAGGATGCCTGTATGTACAGGAAGTTGAGTCTGCTGCAAAGATAAAGCAAACTGAGAAACAAGGAGTCTCCAACTTTTTTTGTAGTATCAGAAGCTGAATTTCCTCTAAAGGACTTACCTATGGTTACAGATAAGCCTCGATGTGTCCTTTACACCACAGAGTGCCACAACTTTCTGGGAACCGTTTCCCAGAAAAGAAGACCTAACTGGAAAATAAGCAGCCTTGTGAACTAGAGAACAAAAATTCCAGTTCCAATCCTCTTGCCTTACTTGCCATTACGAAGTAGCCACTGAGCAAGAGAATAGTGAGGCACAATTTTCTGCATGACACATCATCAACATGGTAATGACCAGAGTTTATTTTAGGGTTATTTTCAGGGAAACATGGAATTACCATCATTCACACTTCACACACACATACACACACACACACACACACACACACACACACACGCGCGCCCCTCCTATATGGGGCCTGCCCATCAGACAGATACTGAGAGAACTGTCAAAGGAAACACAATGAAATTCTACTAGCCAATGTCACTTTTATAGGTGTCCCTGGATTCCCTGCACAGGGTCTGTTCACTTACACAACAGCTGCGTTGAATCTGTAGTTTCAAGCTAAACCTTCCACTTCTAATCATCTGAAAGGATCATCATTCCACTGTCAGTTAATAGGTCTCAAAATTCCCTTCAATTCCAACAGCATTCACTAGCACGTATTAATGCCTAGTACCACAGAGGTACTTCATACCTTTGCTCCAATGATCTGTCCCCTCTACAGATATAGGTAGTCACAGAACCATGTCCTAATCTGTAATGCAGTGCAAGCCAGACATACTAGCAAGCACACATTTCAGGGTTAAATACATAAAGGCTGTGAATCTTAAAAATCTGGCATACCAAGTCTTACAAAACCTCACACACCCATGTGTTATCATTCTACAATGGCCCATCATTTCCTAACTGATGTGATAAAATCAGTTACTGTCCACACAGCCCCGCAGGACTACTTCTGATCTAAAGGGACAAATCAGAAAATATGCAAGGTTAGTGCAGGCTGAGAGGCACGAGATTTGGTACTGACTCTTCTCTAATGCTTAGCATAGCGCCCAGCATGCTTGTGTTGGCTGGATCAGTGAGTAAAGCTTTAAATATGGATCTTTCCTCTAAAAACGCCTTAAAACTGACAGAAAAAAGAAAGAAAATACCCTACTATTCTTAGAAAAACATAAGCCCCCAAAGCCAACATGCAAAAATGAAATCCTGTCATTCTGGACACCATGGATGAAACTGGAGGACATTATGTTAAGTGAAATAAGACACACAAAGACAAATGCTAAGTGAGAAGAGAGAGGAAAGGAGATAATAGGTATAGAAATACAGTTAGACAGGAAGAATATTTTAGCATCTTATAGCATAGTAGGGTAACTATCATTTATAATAATTTATTATGTATGCTGAAATAGTGAAACAGGAGCTAAAAGTTCCCGCACAAAAATGCTAATCACCCTGATGTGATCACACTACATGAATGCGTCAAATTCCCATACATACAACTAGCATGTGTCGATTAATAAAAAATGTTTAAATGGATACCTAAAGATTATTAGCTGTTTGGGGCCATCTGTGTTTGAGGGTCCCAAATTTTAGAATTCTGTGGAGAAGTAATGAATCCCTCAAAAAATGTGTCATTTTGACATATCAGGGTAGGAAAGAAACCACTGCAGCCTCGTCACCGCTTCTGTAAGAAATTCTATTTTAACACATGACTTTCCTTCCCATGGATGCTCTACCAACATCCTTGTAGTTAGGCTTTTACTAAGGACTGATGAACACATGGTAATGGCTTAAACTGGGCCATAGATCAGTGTGGGATCCACAGTCCCCCTCTCCCATGTGGCTCGTATAAATGGTTCTTTTCTATCCATGAGATTGTTTCCCTCTAAAACCTCCATGGTGCCTCAAATTCAAACGGAGAAACCTAGATTTTGGCCTCTCTCTCCTGGGTGTTCTTGAAGGAGAGGAACACCTGGCTTCAGCTGAGTTCTTGCTATCCAAACTGAAACCAGTGCCACGAGTTTCTGAAAGCCACATCTAATCAGGATCATTTGGATCATTAAAACTCCACCATAATGAAGTCCATTTCTTATTGGAGCAGTTGTTTCAACAGCTGGGTGGAATAAAGTTTGAATGTGATATCTTAAATAATAACTGAGTTCCAATGACGAAAGAAGGGAGAGCTTGCTGCTCTACAGACACAGAAGTGATGCTGCCAGCGCAGTCAACAGAGAAGTCTTGAGTTAATCTCCTAGGAGAAGACTTGAGCTTGTCTCAAACCATTCATGGACTCCTTCTGGGCTTTCGCATCCAAGGGCAAGTGAGGGTGAAAGTAAGGATGTGCTGTTATGTGACACAACAACAGAAGACAGTGTCGCCTTCTACACATTAAAGAACCATCCCCTCTCCACATGCCTGCAAAATAGGAGCTACTATTCCTACTTAGTAGACAACAAACTGACGGTCACAAAGCTTGACCATTCAACAATCAACAAATACTTGTCCAGTGCCTATGTGCAGGCACTGTATAAAGAGCTAGCCCAAAGTGACACAGCTGACTAGCAAAGGGAGAACCCAAACCCAGTCATGTAACCTCAAGTCTATTGCATTCCATGGCTGGCCCCCTGGCTGACATCAGCGTTGCCACAAGACACTGAAGTCAAAGGGCCATGGCAGAAAGGACTACATGGTCCACCTCTTTAGTGCACACCTCTGAAAAGAAAGTCAATACTGGATCCTATGCTTGCTATCTCCACGGACAATTTGAAGTAGGCCCGGGTGTCATCTTAGTTACAGCACTGTCCATGACGTGCAGTCCAGAACTGGGAGCTGGGGCTCATGGACCCTTGCCACCCAGTGGGCAGAACAGAAACATTCCAGTAAAGCTCTCATGAAACCCAGGAGAGAAGTTTTGGCAAAAGAGGAACAGATTCTAAAGTTTCAAGGTTTCCAGACCAATAAGATCAGAAGCCATACAGTGGGGTTTGAAAAGTCTTACTCCTTGGACCAAGGACTGAGATCTCTAGTTTGATTCTCATAGGCTGCCTCACACATCTGGGACCTATGCTAGTTATGGCATGTGCCCCATGCCAGAGGTTCTGGAAACAATGTCTGCCATCCACTCTGGCTGGCCATCCCAACTGACCAGCCTGCTCCACAGTTGCATCAGAGAAGAAGCCAGTCATACACTAAGCTGCCCATCTCAAGAATGCCAAAATCTTCATGAATGGGCCAACCTGTGCATGTAATCTCATGGAGGTGGGGCTGACAGCTATGGGTCACGTGAGCAAGCTCAAACACAAGAGGCTGGCCTGATCAATAGATGAGTCAGGACAGGTAGAGTATAAAACCTCATCAGTTCCAGTGCTTCTCACATCACCAGCATCTCCTCTCCTCACTCACCCTCCCTGGTGTTTTGGGTAAGTGGGGATTTACTGGCTCTCATCTTCTCAGCTGGCTTTCAGTGCATGGGGGGTCTCTCTCACCTGTAGAAGTTAGAGGACATCTATCTTCCCTCTGTACTGCACTCATACTAAGAGGGGAGTCAGGAAAGGGATGGGGTGCAGAGTTGCTTGGTCTTCTGCCCAGAATGTAAACTCTACCAACCCAAGATTGTTTCCTACCTCTCTAGCACACCTGTAGGGGGTGTAATTCTGCTAGACACAGGAATGCTGCAGTGGCTGTCCAAGGCAGCCCTTGCAGTACATGGGCTGGCTGACCTCATAAAACTGTCAGGAGGAGCTAAGCCAAGGGTTAGAGAATACTGAGAATGATTCAGAGAATGTTGCAGAGGAGAGGTATTTTAGGAGCCACAAAAAGCCAAATTCTGCAGACAGTGTGAATGAGAAATGACTTGCAAGGGGCTAGGATTCAACTTCCTATTAGTTATAGTTCCCTCTACCAAGCTTCAGCATATCACAAAAGAGATATCTGATATACAGAAATCTGGTAGGAGGTGCTGGCCCAAAGAACCATCTGAGTCCTTCTCCCTGTGCCAAGAAAAGGCCAAGGAAGACCTTGTCTTTATTAATAACTAACCATTGAGTCATAGCTTCACTCTGTGGGACACGGAAAGAGTTTGAACTCAAGATTTTGCAAAAAAAAAAAAGAAGAGATGTAATAGTCCTCTGCTATCCCAACAAACCTCCCTAGATTGTGCTAGAAATGGCAAAATCCCCCATGCTAAGTAGAGATTTGTGATAATTTTCTATTTGAACTCGGAGAATTAGTGTTGGGACTGGAAGAGGCCTAAGAAACAAGTGTTCAAACTACCAAAGTGGGTGATCTGCCCTAAAAGCACCACTGAGGTCAAACAGCTTGGAGAGAGGGTTGGTTCCATCCACTCGGGTATTTCAACTTGGCCAGGATTTTCTGAGAGAGGAATCGACTCCTTTCCAAAAGTAGCAATCCCAGCTGAGTTGGCGCTCCTGAAAAGACCTTGGCGCCTAACCCAGCAGGCTGCACTCCGAGCAGGGAGGATTTTACTATCGCAGCACCCTCTTGCGGCTGGTCCAGTGATGCTTTTCCGCTCTCTTTTCAGGGTCTCCTTCCTCCTTAGACAAGATGTCTCACCAGAAAAAGCAGCCCACCCCCTACCCTCCAGTGGTTTGCAAGACCTCTGGCGGTGGAGGCGGCGGTGGCTCCGGCTGCGGCGGCGGTGGAGGCGGAGGCTCTAGCTGCGGGGGCGGCGGGGGCTCCGGAGGAGCCATCAAGTACTCAGGTGGCGGCGGCGGCGGCGGCGGCTCCAGCTGCGGGGGCGGCGGTGGCTCCGGAGGAGGCGTCAAGTACTCTGGCGGCGGTGGCTCCAGCTGCGGCGGCGGTGGAGGCGGAGGCTCTAGCTGTGGGGGCTGCTACTCCAGCGGCGGCGGCTCGGGCTGCGGAGGCGGCGGTGGCTCCGGAGGAGCCGTCAAGTACTCAGGTGGCGGCGGGGGCGGCTCCAGCTGCGTGGTCGGCTACTCCGGCGGCGGCGGCTCCGGCTGCGGAGGCGGCGGTGGCTCCGGAGGAGGAGTTAAGTACTCAAGTGGCGGCGGCGGCTCCTCCGGGGGCGGCAGCTGTGGCTACTCGGGCGGCGGCGGCTCCGACTGCGGCGGCGGCTCCGGGGGCGGTGGCGGCTCCAGCTGTGGCGGCGGCTCTTCCGGCCAGTGTTACCAGACCTACGGCAGCGGCTCTTCCGGGGGCGACATCTGCTACTCCTCAGGCGGTGGCTCCAGCTGTGGCGGCGGCTCCGGGGGCGGGGGCGGCTCCAGCTGTGGCGGCGGCTCTTCCGGCCAGTGTTACCAGACCTACGGCAGCGGCTCTTCCGGGGGCGACATCTGCTACTCCTCAGGCGGTGGCTCCAGCTGTGGCGGCGGCTCCGGGGGCGGGGGCGGCTCCAGCTGCGGCGGCGGCGGCTCTTCCGGCCAGGTCTACCAATGCCAGAGCTCCGGCGGTGGCTCCTCCGGCGGCGGTTCCGGTTGCGGAGGCGGCTACTCCGGTGGCGGCTCTAGCTGCGGCGGCGGCTCCTCCGGCCAGAGTTACCAGTGCCAGAGCTACGGCGGCTCCTCCGGGGGCGGTTCTGGTTGCGGCGGTGGCTCCGGAGGTGGCGGCTCCAGCTGCGGCGGGGGCTCCTCTGGCCAGCACTACCAGTGCCAGAGCTACGCCGTCGGCTCCTCCGGAGGTGGCTCGAGCTGTGGTGGGGGCTCCTCCGGGGGCGGCGGCGGCTCGAGCTGCGGAGGTGGCTCTGGCGGCGGCTCTGGGGGTGGCAAGGGCGTCCCAGTCTGTCACCAGACCCAGCAGAAGCAGCCGCCAACCTGGCCATGCAAATAAGGCCCCATGGATGCCGCGGAGAAAAAGGAGCTGGAGTTATTCTCCGTGGGCGCCGATGGGCTTAATGTTCTCAAGGTAGTGCCCAAGGTTTCCAAATTTTTCATGTCTCCATCCACCTAGAAGAATCCATCGAGTTCTCGGACTGCATCTCGTTCTGCAGTTTTTCCTTACTGGTTTCTGTATGACTACTTCCCACTTCCAGTCCCTCTTCACCCAATAAATTTTGCTGTTCATGAGAATCTTTGGGTCTCCAGCAGTCTTTGTAGCTTCAGATGCATCTGTTCATTCCGTTTTCTCTTTTCTTCCATTCATTCATCCATGGTGTCGTTAATATTCTATTGGGGGAGGTCAGGGGGACAGATAGAAGTTAGCAGTGGAGGAATGGCTAGCAAATGAAAACTAAAGATGTAAACAGTCTCGTATAAGGCTTAAAACCTCGAAATGATCCCAGAACGAAGATCCTGCTAAAATACCTTAGTAAACAGCCTCCAAGGAGTTGTGTAACCACTAAAGGGGTATACTCTCTGTGCTCAGAGCTTTTAAAAGAGAGGCTATCCTGGAAAGATGCGCTCTCTCATCAAAAAACAAAGTGGCTATCCATTAGAACACTAGCCCATGCTACCGAAGCTCACAAGAGAAAGAATATTTCAGGTATTCCTGAATCTCTGAAGTACGTGAGGCCCTCTACTAGGTACTTGCAAGGACAGAAGGAAGTAGGGGAGCTATTACTTGCTCTCTTGAAAGAGTGTCATCCAATGTAGGAAGACGCAGCATAAATGCATAAGGTGTTAAAAACATCGCTACCAGAAAGTCCGTGAGAAAACAGGAAGCTTTCTAATCAGCAAGGAAGAAGCTACAGGTGCTCCCAGGATACAGTAATTACAAAGCCCACAGTGTATTCTAGTTTTACTAGATTTAGGTAAATGCAAATTTATTGATTTTTCTCAGCAATACTAACTGTACCAAAAAGCCAAGGTCCCCTCTCTGTAATCACTGCTACAAACTGAAAAATAAATTCTCCTTCTCCAACTCTTAACCACTGAGAGTCACCAATCGTAAAACATACAAGACTTAGAAAGGAGGAGAAAAGTCAGAATTGCTGGAGTCCCTAGAATGAAAGGAGTAATACAGCTAAATTCCCTGTTTTCTTTTTGCCTACTAAGTGTCCCAGATTTTGCACTAGAAAGTAACCAAGAAATGCTGACATTCAGAAAAAAGAGTACCCCTCCCATCTTTAAAGGATCAGGAAACAATTGTGTAGCAAGACAATTCTTTGACAACATCTACCTTACTTCAACCATCATGGAGAAAAATGAACACTTGTGGGCTTTCACCATTAAGGGAGTCAACATGAACTTACTCAGTGGTAAGGAGATGGTATACTTCCTACATACAGTGGTGTATTAGCAGAGGTCTACAATAATAGAGGATTTAAATAAGATAGAGTCATAATACACAAAAGGTACATCACACTATCACTTGTCATAACAAGTATGTGGAAAATTTGACTTTAATGAAAAAGGTCTGATCAGTAGGTTCCAACACATATTTTTGGATTATCTGTTAAGATGTTTAAAGAAATTATTATAAAAAGGCTCCTTAAGAAACTGCACACTTGAAACAATTTTTAAAAATCACAAAAAATAGAAGATATAAAAAACCAAATGAAATTTTAGAAGAAATATAATAGCCTATTGTAGAACTGAAATTTATAACTGACAACTCACTGGGTAGCCTCAATAAAAATGAATATGATAAAAAGCTCAAAAAGATTAATGAATCAATAGAATTGAAAAAGAGAAGGGCTTCAACAACCTGTAAGACAACAAGAGTTGGGATTTGTGTCAGAATCCCAGAAGGAAAGGAGAAAGTATGAGACTGAAAAATATTAGAAGAAATAATGGATCACAGTACCATAAACACATTTTTTTAAAAAAATAAATAAACATGGTGGGTAAATCTTCAGATTCAAAAAGACTTGAGAGGACAAGAATTTCTTGTCACAAGCCATGAAGGCCAGAAAGAAAAGGCACATTTTTCAAGTAAAAGAGAACTGTTTTAACTCCAAATACTGTGTCCAGTGAAAATAACCTTCAAGAATGAAGGTAAAACAAAAAGTTCTTATGAAAGAAAATGAAGAACATTTGCCCACAGATCCATCCCAAAAGAATGGCCAATGGAAGTTCTTTGAACAAAAAGGGAATGATAAAAGAAGCCATGTGGAACAATGAAAAAGGGGCATGAGGAGAAGATCAACGTAACCAGCTAGGGTACAGCAGTAAGGGAGATGAACTCTGTAGTGTCCACTGGAGGAGCCAAGTACCCTGAGGCTGGGACTACAGAGAAAATCAGAGGTAGGAGAATAAGTGGAAAGAAACTAGGCAAAATCTAACATCAGGAATTTGAAAGGTGAAGTGGACTGCTCCTGGATCTAGGCTCCTCTTACACTGCAGGTCTAGGATATATAGCCAGCTCAGGAGAGGGTTACTCTCTGAGGGAAGGAGCTGGCATGAAATTAAGCAGACCAAAGGGGGAGCCTGTCTTGGAGGCCTGCAGTCAGACTTTGACTGCAGCATAAAGAGAGATGTGTGGATATTTTGGTTGTACGCTATAGCAACTGTGTGAGGATTTCTGTTTGTTTGTTTCCTTGCTTGTTTGTTGTTTTGGTTTGGTTTGGTTCTTGCCGCCTTCCTCCTCTTCCTCCTCCTCCTCTTCTTCTTCTTCTTTCTCTTCTTCTTCCTCTTCTTCTTCTTTCTTCTTCTCTTTTCTCATCTTCCTCCTCCTCTTCTTCATTATATTATTATTATTGTGATGATGATGATGATGATGATGTTTAGATTTTCTTTATTATCTTTCTTTTGGCCTTTTTTTTTCATTCTCGATTTTTTTTCCTCTCTCTTCCTCATCGCTTCTCGGCCTTTTGGCTAAGATCAAGTGTAATATCTGTTCTTAACGCTTTTTCTCTCTTGCTCATTTTTTATCCACCTATTTTGTCTTCCTCTCCATATTTCATAAAGCATATATATATATGTATATATATATATATATATATAGTGCCTGTGTATGAGTAAAACAATAAGAATTAACCAGTGCTTTAACTTAAATAATACCTCTCATGGGTTCAACAGGGTAATGTTTACTAAAATTGTGCATAGAAGATACAAACAAAACTGAATACAAACATATTGACAGGTTCTAACAATCTCAGAGCCTCCCTCAATCTCTAGTCACACTTCCCTTCTTCTGCATCCCTCCTCCTACCTCTACAAATATTTTCTCAAACCCCTACAACACTAGCCCTTTACTAAAGTTATAAAAATAATTCCAACAGAATCTGACCTCCTTTTGTTTCACATATTGATGGTTCTCTTCTCTCCCTCTCTTCTTACTGACTTACCCCTCCTCTTCCCCTTCCCCATTCTTTCCACCTCTCTCCATATCCCACTCTAACTGCTAATAGCAGTATAATATAGTCTGTAAGTGGCACTGATAAAAGGGTGAAATTGTCAGAACTCATTTTAGTGTTCGTATTAGATGTGTAGTTGGAACTGTTGATGCTGTTATATAACCCAGTGGGAATTATCTCCTTGTAACACAGTGACTGGGTTAAGTCCTATTAAACTAAGTAAGGTGAAGTGGTAGACAGTACCTCTTGGAAGATCGAGTTAAGATTATGTCATGGGAAAGCACAATCTAAATAAAGAGGTCACCATACCAACAACAAAAATCTTTTCACTGTCTTTGACCTGAATACTCAGCACACATACCAAAAGAAAAAAGCATAAGAAAATAACGCAATAAAAGCCTCCTGAAACTTCCAACACCCCCAGATCAGATTCAGGGGGCAACTATGAAGAGATAGATTATGGCTGAATTGTATAAAATGATCAAAGAAGCAAAGAAATGATGAAGCTCAACGATGATATAACCAGAGAGTAGAATGAATAACAAAATGATCAATGAGCTTAAAGAATCCAATAAAAAATTAGAAGAGCTAACTAAAACTACTCAAAACATAAATGACAAATTTACCAAAGAATTAGAATCCATGTAAAGGTACCAAATAAATCCTACTGTTAGAGAATTTTATTGAATATATGAGCAGAACAAGTGACCAATGTAAAAAAAAAAAAGAATATTATATCTAGAAGATAGGTCTGAAGAATAAAATCATATACACAAATGTATCTTAAAAACAAGATAGAAGAGGAAAATTGATCCAACAGCTACTAGATGATCCAAAGAAGACTAACCTAAGACTAACTGATGTTAGAAAAAAGTCAGAGAACACCACACATGGAATTTTAAAAAACTGTTTACAGAAATCATAGCAGAAAAATTGCCAAGTGTTTTGAAAGTATTCAACATACAGGTAAGTGAGGCATATAGAATCCCAAATAGTCATGACCCAGAAAAAAACTTCTCCACAACATATGGAGGTCAAAACCCCAGAAGTCCAACACATTGACAAAATCTTCAAAGCTGTTAGAGAAAAGCAATAAATTACATATAAAGGTGAACCTATTATGATTACAGACTTCTAAATATAAACTTTAAGTATTTCAAATCCTAAAAGAAAATAACTTTCAACCAAGACTGATATATCCTAGAAAACTGTCTTTCAAAACTAATGGAGAAATAAGGACATTATGTGACAAAGAGTGCCTTAAGAAATTCATGACCAACAAACCACCACTCCAAAAAGCTTCTTAAAGACATCCTAGAGATAATGAAGCTATCAGTGTCAAAAAGTGTGATGACATAAAAACATCAAACAGAATAAGCAGGCAAACAAAAGGAAAAAATAAAGAAATCAACAGAAAAATAGTACAATTACAGGAATAAGTCAATATCTTTCAGTAATTACTCTCAACATAAATGACCTCAATGCCACAATTAAAAGATACAGCTTGGCAGATTGGATCAAAAAACAAACTCAAATGGCATGCTGCCTAGAAGACACATATCTAATCCAAAAAGAAATTCATAAACTAAAAATCAAAGGATGGAATAATGATAGTTCATGCAATTAGACCTTGAAAGCAAGACAGGTAGCTATCTTACATTCAAACAAAGTGAATTTCATGTTAAAACTAGTTAGAAGAGACAAAGAAGATCACTACAAATTAGTTAAGGGACTAATTCAACAGGAAGAGATAACAGTTGTAAAAAAAATATAC